TCGTATTCTGAAATTCTAATTGAAGATGAAATTTCATTCGAACTTTTCGTTTGATTCACGAGTTTCGGCGCAGGTAAAAGATGCAAGAAAGAATGGTTTAACGCAGGAGAAAATTGCCGGGTAATTCAACTCGGCCATCGATCTCCGCCACGACATAAATCGAGTTTCATCGACATTCCGTATTCAATTAGCCGGTGTCTCATCTCGAATTCATTATCGAGCCGTTCCTTTCCTTCTGCACCGTCGTCGTCGCTATCCTTTGTACAGCCGTGTGTGCGTTGGCTACGAGTTGTGGCCGTGGCACACTGCCAAAACGCATCTCGCGTAAACGATTCGCACAAAGCGGCCCGCGCGCTACGACATTGACGTTAATTGCTCCGATGATGAATGAAGAAAGCGTCGATTAATCGAACACTGCGAGCCGCGGCCGGCCTTAAAAAGGAACTTGCCCTGCCGTGTCTTTTTCTTTGGTGAGAGGAAGGGAAGAAACTGGTATCGGTATTGGCGATCGCGGTTGCCTCGGAACAAGTATACTGCGGTTCATTTTCGAGGCAGGAAAAAGGAAAAATAAAACAGAGAGAGGGAGAGAGAGAGAGAGAGAGAAAGAGAGGAAGAGAAAGAAGAAAGTGGAAATGGAAGAAAGAACGAAAGAATGAATACGCCATTGATGGGTCGAATAAAAATGGAAATGAGAAAAAATAAACGTAGAACTAAATGAAAATGGAAAATAACGAGGGATTTGAGAATTTGACGAGCTTCGATCAGCTTAGTCATTTTACGCATGGACAGTGCATTTGAGCAACGATTTGAATAAATTTCATTGCATTTGGATACGTAGAAACGAATTTCGAATCGATTCGATTGGTCGCTTAGTTCAAAAACATAAACGTAGCTTCTAATTTCATAGCGAGAAGAACTAAAATTGTCGATCGAGCGTATAGAAAATTCTTAGACGACAATGCGTTAAAAATTGAATAGAGGCACCGTACAACTGAACGATCTGCTTAATAGCTCTCGAATAATAGCATCCATAATCACATGCAAAATTAATCGACGTCTATATCGAAACTCCTGAACGAGGTAGTTCGATGAATTTTTATTACGTGACTGGAATTCCTCAACCACCTTTAACATCGAATTAAACGAAAAAAAGGAGAAAGGGCAAAGAAAATAAAAGATAAAAAGAACATCTTTTTACCCTTTTTACGCTGTTTTTATTTCTTCCTTCCTACAAGCTGTGCCAGACATCGTGTTACGCAATTTTTGAACGTTCCTTAAAAAAATTTCTAACAGATTACGAGGATGATACGTTGCAAAGCGGCCCGATGATTTCGCCATTCGACCGATCAAACGTTCCGCGACGCAAATTACGGCTCCAATAAATCTGTGATCCGCGTTATGGACGATCGAGAAGGGATTGTTCGCGTAGGTGATCACCGATATACGAGAGGATACGAGCATAAATACCGCGTCCAACCGAGAGACGCCATTAAAGGGAAAGGAGGTTTTTTTCTCACGACCGGTGGATGTGAGACCGATGCGAGACTAATTGATTTCTCGCGTTAATGACCAACGAGATATCGTAAACATGCGTATGTGTCTAATATATATAGATACATAACGAATAACAATCAAAGTTCCCATTTCCATTCAAATTTCGAATGTTTGTTGGATTCTTGCACGAATGTTCCAGTTTATCTCTTACGATAAAGAGAAATACGAAGATAACGGAAGATGATAATATGAAATTCGTGTAAGAAACGCTTGTGTTAACAACAAACGACGTAATATTAATATGTACGTATATTTGCGCAACTTTATGTACCTTGTATATAAGTTGTAGCGTCAATTTTTTTTAAATAATTTTCCTTGGAATTTTAATAAATATTTCAGTTCAATTTAGAGTCTGCTTCTGCGTACTTTCACGATTTCTAAGTATATTCTGTGAAATAGTTTTAAGACGTAAAAAATGTAAAAAGAAACAACAAATTTTATCACCAAACACTAGCAAATTTTGGACAATTTACACACGATATAAGTCTGTAAATACTTGAAAGCGTAAATTCGTTTCGTTCAAATGATTTCACGTAAAATATTAATGAACATCAACTTCATTTTCTACTTACGAATAAACTAAATATGCAATTAACTTACGAGCAACGCAAAAACATACTTTTGGCAATGTACAAACGTTCCATTCGGTGAAGAACACTACTTAAAGTTCATACAGGAACGCGTGGAACAGGTAAGGAATCCTTCTCTGTTGGATCCGTTCTCAGGTCAGGTGGCCACGGTGCACGCGTGTGCAGTGCACGTATATATTATACGATTCGCGAACTATAGGCACCCTTGGCCCAAGGAATGCACGGTGGTATAGTTTATGCGTTGACCACATTCCTCTCCCATGCCTTGAAACGCTCCTCTTCCTCCGTCTCTTTCATTTAACGCACACCTACGTTCCTCGGGGCCTCTGTCCGTTCTTTTACTTTCGTTCTCCAGAGTCGACAGCACCGTCTGCCCCCTCTACCATCGCTGCCCCCTGCCCGTTTCCACCCTACCCTTCCTACGCCCCATTTCTCTGTTTTCTTTTTATCAACCCCTCCCACGAAGTTACGCATTAATTCAGGCGGACGTTTCGGGACCCTGGCGAACTCTCCAACCGATTCGCGCGACCCCACGACTCGGATTCTTGCGAATTCCTTTTGGATAATTAAGAGAAGAATGGATGTGACGCGATAACTGGATAATATGAATATTTCCTTCTTTTGCCTTCCTTATTTTCGTTCTTTCATTTTATCATTTTAAAGGAGACTATTTAGATACTCGACACGGAATTTGTTCGGTCGATCGTTTAAATATATCAGTTATACAGGGTGGTTGGTAACTGGTGGTACAAGCGGAAAGGGGGTGATTCTACGCGGAAAAAGAAGTCGAAAATATAGAATAAACATTTTTCGTTCGAGGCTTTGTATTCGAGAAAATCGACTTTGAATTTTCGCTCGGTACGCGTGCACTTTATCGCGTCTCGTTATAACGGATCTCACTGTAGATCGTTGTCTCGATGGAAAAATTACAAAAAAAATTTTTATCCTATATTTTCGACTTCTTTTTTCGCGTAGAATCAGCCCCTTTGCGCTTGTACCCCCAGTTACCAATCACCCTGTATATAGTTAAATATCTTAGTATAGTGGATAATCGATTGCGTGCTAATACTGTGGAGATCTTTGCGAAGAGAACGACAGCAATAAATATTTCGTAATTTTTCTATACGTATGTAGACTCGTGTGAAATTTTCAACACCTCATCAAGCTGGCAAAGAAATTCAGAAAAAGTTTCCACAAGCCAAAATACTTTCGTGGACCACTCCAGCTTCATCCTGTGATATCTCGAAAAGCTGAAGTTTGTAACTATTCAACGTCTGTACTTTCAAATTCTACTCTACGCAGAATGTACATTTACATGGTTTACCGTCTCAACTCCTCGATTACAAGTATATTACGCGTCTAATGAACTCATGAGCCTTTCATTTTTCCATCATCAAACTCGCGTAAACCTTGTCACGCCGGTATATTGGTATCCCATTGAATTTCAAATGAAATCCTGTACGAAGAAACGAGGCGGGCTTTCGAGCCAACTGTACGTATAAATCGCGAGCGTAAGATTTATCGTACAGCGATATCTCCCGCGTATCGTTTACGCATAATCGCGCACGAAGGGCCCCTTTGCGCTTGTACCGCCAGTTACCAATCACCCTGTATATAGTTAAATATCTTAGTATAGTGGATAATCGATTGCGTGCTAATACTGTGGAGATCTTTGCGAAGAGAACGACAGCAATAAATATTTCGTAATTTTTCTATACGTATGTAGACTCGTGTGAAATTTTCAACACCTCATCAAGCTGGCAAAGAAATTCAGAAAAAGTTTCCACAAGCCAAAATACTTTCGTGGACCACTCCAGCTTCATCCTGTGATATCTCGAAAAGCTGAAGTTTGTAACTATTCAACGTCTGTACTTTCAAATTCTACTCTACGCAGAATGTACATTTACATGGTTTACCGTCTCAACTCCTCGATTACAAGTATATTACGCGTCTAATGAACTCATGAGCCTTTCATTTTTCCATCATCAAACTCGCGTAAACCTTGTCACGCCGGTATATTGGTATCCCATTGAATTTCAAATGAAATCCTGTACGAAGAAACGAGGCGGGCTTTCGAGCCAACTGTACGTATAAATCGCGAGCGTAAGATTTATCGTACAGCGATATCTCCCGCGTATCGTTTACGCATAATCGCGCACGAAGGCCCCCTTTTTCCATCGCTTATCCGATCTGCATCGACCGATCTGCTCGATCGAGCCACGTTCGCGCAAAATCACGTCGAGTTATTATCTGCGTATGTTGACTTGCTCGTGTAATTAGTGTCGCGGACGTGTTTGGCGCCGTTTCACACGTTCCATGCCCTGCATTTGGATATAAAAAGAAAAGAAGCAAGGTTGAGCGCGTTAGGTCCAGTTAGACCACAGGCAGCCAGCTAATTAGGCGATTAGGTGGTTGAGTATTAGGTGTCGGTGAAATCTGATCCATTGTGAATTGTGGGACTTGCGATATCAAGAGGATGTATATGTATGTAAAGGATAAGATAACGATAGTCCGGGCTTCTTAACCCAATAAAATAACGAGAAGCGAGCCTTAAACTGTTTACTCTTGCGACGATAAATTACAACGAAATCTTTTCTCCGATTGATTTTTATTTTTATATCACGTAACCAAACACGTATTCGAGCTAACATCTACCACCTTGGAAGAAACCATTTCAGAACCTGCAAAATATCTAAAACCTCGAACCTCGAGCCAAATAAAAATCTACCTAAACTTTGCTCGTAAAAGATCGCGAAGAAAAATTCAATTCCGCTAATTACGCCCAGGATCTTCAAAATTTCCAAACATTCAAAGCCTAAATTTCGTTCTTAAAAAAAAAAAATCATTACTTCCAGAATCTTCAGAATTTCCAAACTTTCAAAGCCTAAGTTTCGTTCTTCGAAAAAAGAAAGAAGAAAAAAAAGGAAGAAATCCTAAACGAAGGAGCAATAAACCACTAAACGAACGTATATCAAAAAGCCATAAAAGCTAACCACCCCACCAGCGAAGCCTCCCTAGAGAGGAAAAGGAGGCCATCGTCTGATCGCAAAAACGTCGGCGATTAAAACATAACCAGGCAGTCGCGGTCGCGAGTTCAAAAGCTGGGCTCCTATTGACTCGGAGTCATTGTCGGCAGCCCTACGTCGCGTCGTTTCGGGGGTCCGCGTTCCTTCGTTGGCCACCCTTCCACAAACACCTCCGTGCCTCCACACGCGAAGCCCGGTCAGACGAAACGTGTAGTTAAATGTGGGAGCGCCTCGGGTCAGACATAATAGTGTGTTGGGCTGCAGGTTAAACTGGCGGCGGCCAGCAGGCAGGTTGAAACGGGCCGAGGAATGCAGCCGGGGCAACGAGGAGGGTAAAACGGAGACCAAAGAGGAATCCGGTCTCCTCCGCGTCTTTCTGTCCTTCCTTCCTTCTTCCCTTTCACCCCTCAACCCTCTTCCACCGTTCTCTTTTCCGCTTTGCTGGGACGAATCGCGCTGTTCTTCTACCCATTTCTCCCTCTAGCTCGCACAGTTATCCGTGTGTGGTCAATAGAAAAAATATTTGGAAAATGACTATTTAAATGACACGTCATTTGGCTCGTGATTATTTCAAATTAATTACAACGTAGTTTGTTCGAAGAAGAGAGTTGTTTATCTTAGAGATGTTTCATTATTTGGATACAACTCTTTTTATTCTATTTCTTTAATTTAAAATTCATGTTTTATGAATAATAATTTCTATTTTTACCGTCGTGTCAGCCATATCAGAGCCGTACAAAATTATAAAATGAGTTTATTAATATTTAAATGTTTACTGAAATAACAATCCACAGTGGAGATGCCGTTTATTTCCAGGAATAAAGACCTTGTTCTGTTATTTATAATTGGAGCATAGGGGAGGTACGCGTTTATAACGAATTAAACTATTTTTAAATTGCGTTATTCTATTTAAAATCGTTGCACCTAAGAATAGAAATTGAATTGATCTCGACAAAATGAAATTACTTCCATAAATTAACTTTCAAATAAAAATAATTAATTAATTGAAACTTACGCAGCACACCGTTTCTAACTGTTATTCCTTATTTTTATTTTAAATCAAATTTAACCGACGCTTCCAGCTTTTACGTTTCTCCTCCATACCGAGTCGCGTCATCAACGACGATAATGGATCTCCCTTTCTTTTCCCCTTCCTTTTAACCGTCCACCTCGTACATATCCCACTGTCCCTCGCTTTCCTCGCATTTTTCTTCGTTTCCTTGGGCACAACGTCTCCCTTCGGCTTTGACTTTCGAACCCAGGACATAGCGAAGGCTGGAGGGTTGGTCTAGTTTTGGGGGGACATGTTCAAGGGCATTAATCATCGACGATACCGCTGTTGAATGACAAACTCCAACTTCTTCTTTCGGGATATTTTTTCGTCGTGTTGTTTGCTCCGAGATTTGGAATCTTATGCTGTTAATTAACAAAACATACCGCGCAAAATAAACTTTTGAGTCCTCTTGCGCGATGATTTAGCCACTAACTAGTAACATTAGCGAATTGACAAATTTCGACCACCTTCTATAATTATCCTCGCAATAGGACAAAATTTGTTGGTTTAGTATTAAAATAACGCTTTGGCAATTTTCAATAATTTAAATGTATCCGTAAAAACTTTTGTTTAATCTAACAAACTTCGACCACCTCGTATAATTATCCTCGCAATAAGACAAAATTTGTTGGTTTAGTGTTAAAATAACGCTTTAGCAATTTTCAATAATTTAAATGTATCGATAAAATTTTTTTTTTTAATATAACAAACTTTCCCGGCGAAAGATCTTACGAAAGAAAAAGAAGAACTACGATTTTATAAGAATACTCGTAAGTAATTTATTCGAGATATTAATTATTATAGTATAGGTATATTATGTTAGTAGAAAATGTACTATCATCTTTATAATTATTATTTTTATTTGCATACTCGAGAAAGGAGGCTGACCTTTATTGCTGGTTTTTAGCTGGTTGAATTCGTCAGTTCTCGCGATCGATTTCAGCGATAACTGGACATTAATGATTCATTATACTGCCTGTAGCAGCCTGTTCGCTCTGTCCGATGAAGCGATCGCTGGCTTAATGCCACGTTTAATGCTCTACTCTCACCACGATCCTATTCTTCATCCAGATACCTCTTCCTCAACGTCAGAATGAATGGATGGTTGGCTTTTAAAGCGTTTCGTTAGACGTTTCATCTTTGGTCTTCATTTAAAACTTCAACGACGCAAAATGTCATCGTCGAACTGTTGTTTAACAAATCTTTCGTTTGCTCTTTTTCACTGTCGTACGATAAAACTGCCTTAGAATCATCTGCCTAAAAAATTCATTCAAAAGATATGTTTTCACGGACCGTTATAAATCAAGCGACTATTTACAACATAAATATAGGTGACAATTGTTTCGTAAAAATCCATGTCTAATTAAGCGATTGTTCTTCTTAGAATACAAAAATTAATCCAAAGTCGATACATTCTTCTTTGTAACAAATTTTTGTAGCGCAACAATGTCGATAAATTTATCGCAGTTGCTCCTCGAATCGGGACAAATAATTGGAAAAATCTGCACAATTCAAACAACTCGACGAACAAGTACACGGAGCAAAATTTAAATTTCACGACGCGATTTCAAAGTTGCGAAGTATGGTGGAAAAAAAAGGCTTCACGGCGGTAATTTCAGCATCGATCAGTTAAAGGTGATACCACAGCTTCCATGGCGGAAGATCAAACGTTTTATCGTGAAAACGCTTTCGTGGATCAAGGATAACGTATTCGAGAGAAGGTTTATGGCGACTGGCGTTCCTCTGGAATTTCAACAAGTGAGAAGCAGTCAGGCTATACCGTTCAAGTTGTGCGAGACGTTTTGTACGCCTTAACAATCGTCGAACAACCTCAAGTTCGCTAACTAGTTTGCTACGAAGCTAAAGTCGACCAACGTCTCGTGGTTATTTCTACGTTAGCGTTCGTGAATTCCACTCCATTCTCTTCCTGTTGGATTCATCGGTGAATAAGCGGCGCTTGAACATTGCGTTTAACTTGCTGACGTTTGTTTCTGGTAGGACGATGTCTCTGAATTCTTCTGAAGGATATCGTACCGTTTCGTTCTCAAGATGAAGATAAAGGAAGCAAATGACGTCTATGAATCTTTTGTTCAAGTTTTAGTATAGTTTATATTCGACGAGTTGGTAACAGAAAATAACATTTAACATGGCAAATGTGTCTGTTTCTACATCTTAAATTCTACCATCTCTCTAACCATTTCAATTCAAATGTTTTATTTTCTCGAAATTGAAGAAAATCGAAGTTTTATCATTTGCATTGCGCCACTTTTGCTTCTTCTTATTCGATTGAAAATATTTAGTCGCCATTTTCTAACAGCCTATATAATACAACTTTATTTAAAAGGTAAGAGACACGAGAAACTTAGCAGATGAAATATTTGAATTAATTCCTCGTTCCAAAAGCCTCAAAGTATCCAAATAAAGTTACCGTGGAATCTATAATTTTGGAATATTAAAACGTACTCGTATAAGCATATCTGTATGATCTAATAATATTTTTATTATTTATTCACCGTCTCTAACGTTACACACGTTCGTTATACATTATGCCATTGTATAGACGACAGCCGTAGGAGACCGATATCGGAATAATAAATTCATTTCTTAATTCTACGATCGCTAGACTTATGTTTAATTCGCGTTTCAATTTGTCTGCGATCAACATAGGTATAGTTTACTTGTATAACATAGAGCAGAAACAGCTACGATTTCAACGATATGCGCTATCAATCGATCAATGCTATGTCTAACTTGAAGCATCGCTACCAGCGGTAACTTTTAAAGAAAATGTTCAGCGAACAGCCTAAACTTGGTCCTCGGCCGACTTTCAAGCCACGAACACCGCAAAGGGAACACCACGAAGACGTGTTCCCGTGTAATTAAACTTTCCACTCTCGTCGTCGCGGTGCCTTTAAAAGGAAACCCGCGGTCCGGGACATAAATTTTTCCCCTCAAATATTTGAACATCGCCACCAGAGAAGCCTAGTTTTTACCATCTCCGATAAATCCCCTCTGTTCCTCCCTTTCTCTCCTTTTGTCGTCTCGTACCTCCTTTTCTTTTTTATTCGCTTCTTTTCCCACCGTGACAAGAGGCGAACTAAATGCGCGCGAATTACTCGTCGATCTTACCGGCTTCCTATTCGGATAATAAAGTCAGACTGTAAAAGAGTTATCAAAGGCAAACGACGTGGATAGCAGAGAACGATAGCGGCACGAAGCGGTCGTTTAGGCGACGCGTCCCTCGGGAGCCGAACATAATCACCTCGATTCTATGCCGGTGGAACACTCTGCTGGTAAACTGGCGGCATATTCTACCACGTTTATCGTTTATTACCGTGCCTAACGATACATTAAATTGCACGAGCATGGCTACGAAGCTACGTCCCGGCAGCTAAGACGTCTGTGAAAATTGATTCCGACGAACAAGTCGGCGGAATAAGGTTTCCAAGTAAATTTTGAATCTGCAATTGAGAATTATCGTGGATTAGCGCGTAAGTAAGAGAATAAGTATGGTAATTACAGCGCGGATTTTTATGCGTTTGCGGGCAATTTTCAATGGAAATATGCACAGAACGTAATTATATAGAAAATAGCCATATCGTTACCATATTTAACAAGTGAAACAATTATGCGTCTAGTTTTTTAACGATACGCATAGAAATATGAATTTGCATCAGTATCTTCGTCGCGTTTGATTAATCGTGGAAATATAAATCGTGGAAACGTATGATATCCTCTAGAATGTACTTTCTATTCTAAGGAGAACCGTTGAACTTCTCACATTTTTTTCATATCGTCAAAGAAATTAAGAATTTTCGCGCTTAGGTACGCAGGTGAAAATCGATACACGTTCCACGTGAAAATATTACAAAGCGACTTGTTATAATTCGCGTAACTTTATTAAGGAAAAATCAACGCCACTCTTGATATTCTTAAATCAAGTCGTAATATTTCTCCATGGAACGTGTATTGATTTTCACCTATGTGCGTACGCGCGCAGATTCTTAATTCCTTTGACGATAGGAAAAAGAATGTTGAAAGTTCAACAGTTTGCCGCTGGGTCGTTGAAAAAGGAAACTAGGGAAAAAATCGAAGCACGGAACGCTGATAGCGATCGTAAGCGTAAAGCGCGTGCACGCGCGGGGAATTGCTCAGAATCGCGAGCGTGCATAAACTAATTGAGAACAATTCGAGTGCTAAACGAATGCGAGCGTCGAATCGGGGAAAATGCGGCCGTCGTGTGCGACAGCCGGAAGAAATTCCGAATCGAATCAGGGGCCCGGATTTGCCGAGTTTCGTCCGCGTCGCGACGCGTCGATCTGTAAATGCGTTCGATCCAGATGTGGAATTTTCTCCATCTTTTTTTTTTCACTTCCTTTCCCATTGCGTTTCGCGCTTTCGAATCGATCGCTGGAAAGCTTTCGTAACGTTATTTATACGGAAAAAATGAACCGCGTAATAATAAATAATTTAACGAACTTAACACGTTCGTCACCCAACGTGATTCGGCTAAGTTTCCTGCGGGGCCGAAATCCAACCGCCGGTTCGCAGAACGTAAATGAAGCGACAAGCGGGAATTCATGGTTTATCGCCTTCGATTCATTGCAAAGGAAAAATTATTTAGTTCTGAAATGAAGAAAACGATAAGCTTTCCAGCTAGAATATTCCGAGGGATCTCATGGCAGATATCTGAGATCTTTCATTTAGTCGAGAAACATACTCGTGAGGCGTACATCAGTGATATTTTCATGCTGAATATGTTCAGTAAACGACGTGAAAATATATTTGAAAGTGAGGGGAGTAGTGACGACGAAGTCTGCAACTATTGGTCGAAGTGCCCAAAATCAGCCCAAGTGTGTTTGGAATGTTTTAACAATTACCATGCGATATAGCATAATGTAATATTTTATCGAGAATATAAATCAATAAAAAGTATGGTATATGTTGTATATCCTTTATATAATATTCTATATTTAATTAACTCGATCAAGAAGAGCGTCATCCATACTTGGGTGACGTTGCCCCACGGAAGTATACCCGTCACGTAGACATGGGTGACGTGGCAAACCTGTTAAAGAAGTAAAGCATCAATGCGTAGAGGAATAAATTTCGATACGGTATAAAAATGTTCGTAAAGAATTTGAATAATGTTCAGCGAGGAATCCTACGCCCTCGTGAATCAGCTGGTAACGTTTATCGACCCGCGAAAAGAACGGAGAGAAGGCAAGTTAGAAAGGCGGACAAAGCTTTTAACGTCACGTAGTAGATACGTATGAAACGAATTTCATCGGCATACACCTCGCACCTACCTCCGGCGGATCAATTTAAATGGCTATTCAGGAGGGCTGAGTTACATTAATTGCGGCGTTGGAGGAAGTCCATTCATTAGTTTCATTGTTATTTCGGCCCCACAAAACTGACAGCCGGCTGGCTCCGTGAAAAAACAAGCAGCGCCACTTCCGCCATTCAGCGGTCCCACTCTCGTTTTCTACTCGATTCCCAGCCGAATCTGTTCGATGATCCGACAAAATGTTTTATTTCCGCCAGAGAGTCTCGCATCGATCCTCACACGGCGTCCAATGGAAAGACGGTGGCAATTGACCCTTTCATTCGTTTGTCTGTTACTTTTCTCTTCGTTATACGTACAATATAATACGTCTGGACAGAGATGCGGTGAAAAAGGCGAAGCAACATGATCGTCGAAGCTTCTTCGATGAAACATTGATGGAAGGAAATGGAAAAGGGCACGAGTCGTTCGAATAAAAGTATAATCCAGCCGGTGGAACGCAGGAAGCGAGTGTATAAATTAGAAATGTGGGCGAGAGTAGGAAAACCTTTCCCTGGTGAAGCGTTAGCAAGAAATAAATAAAGAAACGCGGCTACCCTGCTGCTTGGTAGACGATGGTTATTAAAGAAAAACGAGCATCAACGGGAAACGAAACGAAGCAGGAAAGGGACCTGAGCGGATGCACGACCGCGTTGAAACAGATACGGAAGACGAGGAAGAAAACGAAGAGGAAGAATAAAATAAAAAAAAGAGAGAAGAGAGTAAGAAATTGCGGATAAAGAGATGAGAAGGGAGGCGGAAGACGAATAAGGTATAGCCCGAAGTTGGAACAATGGTCGAAAATTGCGGGGCAAAGCCGACCAGAGAAAAAAGCTATAAGACGCTGGATTTACATAATACTTGGGATACTCTCGGCCATTGTTCCCTTGCTCGTATTAAAATGATATTGAAGAACAGGCATAGTAGATACGAGAAAGTACTTACAGGACTCTGCCGCGATCTTATCTAATTTCGATCAATTTGACACCGGAAATGAAAAGATATAAGATAGGAAAGCAAATACAATTGCTTATACAGTAAACGTTTCTATCAAGCTTCTACTCTGGCCGAGCAAATATACGGCCACCATTTTCACAGCATTCTCAGGTAATCCGTTCTCCTTAGATAATCCGTTCTTCTCAGATAACGAGGAATTAGAAGCGTACCTGCCCGTTTCTCAGGAAATATTGCGACCGCAGCAAGTTTATATAAACGGTATTGCGTTAGTGAGAAGAAAAGATGAAACTTTTTTGTTCTTTCATATTTCTCGTACGCGTACCGTTTACGAGAAAAACGCTGACTGATAACTGTGTGAACAAATTGTGGATCGACGAATAGGAAGTTATCATTACTATTATTAAATAATCCAAGTGAGAATTAAAGAACAATAGGTTATCAGCTTGAACTGACCTTTGATCGAAAATTTTAAATTAACCACCCTTCTTTCCAGTCAGACGTTAGCTTTTAATTTCATTATGATAAGAACCGTGGATTAACTTGCGCAATTAATCTCGACAAAGGGTCCGTCAACAAACAAGGAGTTTGAAAATTTCTCGGGTCTACGCCATCGAAACCGGAGATCGGCTAATTACCGATGCCTCGAAAGACGTAACGAAAAAGGAGCAGCTCGACGCGGCACTGTACACGATAAACCCCCTCGTTGATTTAACGAGGCCTCGCACGTCTCCGAAAACCCTTCAATTAAGTGATAACGTTACAATGCATCGGCCGGTTTCGATCCTCGGCTCGATATTATTGCCCGAGACCCTGTCCCTCTCTGGTGCAACGAATTCGCTAATTACCCTTGTTCAACCAGGCAAAGCTCTTTCATTAACGAGGACCACCATCACGCACGGCGTCGTATTATGTTTTAATTACACGTGTGAATTCGATACGTTTTAATTAGGTCGCGGAGCCTACGCACCGGTAGCAAAGTAACGCGAAACGAAACGCGTTCTCCTCGAATATTACGGAGGACACTTTAATCGGAAATAGCAGCGAATATCTGTTCCACGTTCGTTAATTTTATGCGTATGAAGTTATAGACGAAGTTAAGAAGTTTAGTATAGTATTAGATTGTCCGAAAAGTTTCTTTCGTTTTATAAGGAAATAATAGACGCACAAGGTTTTTCGTTTTATATTATTTTGTCGAATTACGTACGATCCATTTTGTTCTGTTGAGATAAACACCGCGGCATTTCACAGACTTGCTTTCACGTTTCTATGAAGGTACACTGTTGGAAAAGACACGTTTGCGAAAGAAAGATACTTTTCGGACAACCTAATCGGTGGATATTTTTACGAGTGGCACCAGTGACTGAACGAAATGAAATTGACTGGGTGTCGCGAAACAAGGCGATGCATCAGAAATATTGGAATCTTAAATTCGCCGATTCACGCGTCCCAAAGATACAGATCGTCGTATGCACTGGCAACCATAAGTATCGCATCTATCGATATTTTATATAATTAATTAAATCTTTAATTATGGTATAAATTGAATGTTTCTCGCCGCTTCTACTTTCCAACTGTTTTATCATAAATCTGCTTTCGCATTACACGCACCTCGTAATAAAATATCAAATAAAGTGAGATTTGTTAGAGCTTCCCAATAAATATAACGAGTAGGTGTTGTAATATGGTCGGCAGTGTATATGCGTCGGACACGAACCAATGTATCGTATCATTATTTCACGATCAATTTTCCCCATCCACATAAACCGGGAATTTTCTTTTTCCGTCATTATCCGAATAAATATTTTGATTTGAAAAAGATATGACAGGCACGGTGGTCCCTGTGAGCGATGAAAATCCATTCGAACGAATTAAAAACAAAAAATTTATCGTTGATATTTAAATCGGCGCGCTTAAACGCAACCATCACGAGCCAGAGAGCGTAGCAATTAATTAAATACGCGCACCGTAAATATTTAACAGCGTTTACGCAACCGGGTATTTCGTGCATTTACACGACCGGCCGTGCATCGAGAGAGAGAGAGAGAGAGAGAGAGAGAGAGATATTTATTGTCGCGATAATTAAATCCTCTGTAATCGAGACAAAAATTCCGATCCGTGATATTCGCCGTCTCCGGTCTCGATTCGACGAACTTGTTTATCGCAAAACCGGACGTGAATAATCATTTCGATGATCCAGAAACATTCAGACGTGTCTTCTGTCCGATTTACCATTCAAATCCGCGGATTCTTCAGGCACAATTGGGATTGTTATCCTTGAAATTAATTAAAATTGACAAAGTTGAAGTGTAGAGAATACAAGAGATTTTAAAACGATCTAACGTCCAATTAACATCTAAGTCATTGCAGGGGTAATATTCATTCGAACAGACCAAAAGATCGAACTGTCATGTCATGAAGCAGGAAACCATTCCACTTTTAACTCTGACGCTAATAGCATTTCCAGTGAATCTGGATCGAATTTCGTGAGAATTCTAAATTACGAACAATTACACCTCTTGTCTAATAATCAACGTTGTAAAAGTCTACAAATATGAATTCCTATAAATTTCCCTTGTGTCTCTTCGTATACGTATAGTTCGCAAGTGAATGCGTTAATCCAGTCAGCGTATACATTAGCTGTTATGCAATTGCTATATTTTATACTTTCATCGCGACATAAATCAAATCGTACAGCAAGCTAACAATTTCGCGTGACGCTTGCAAAATTTTTCTCTTCTTTTCGTGTCTCTCCTTCAACTTCTTTTCCTATTTCGATTCTCGCTTTCTTTTCGAATTTTCCTAAAAAAAGATAAGAACTCGAATTATCCATCCAAAGTGCGAAAATATACATTTGGTCGAGCGCGAAAGAGATATCGCACGATACGCCAAACGTACGTTTTACGAAATTGCGTTTGTCTTCCAAATAATCCTTGTCCACTTAGCAGCCTAATCGGACAATGGCTCGTATACTTTAAACAACTGCCTGATAAACAATCACGCCAGTTCGATGCCTCTTATCAGATTTATTGCTCGGAGGAATACGTTCGAGCGTCGAGGGTGCAGAATCATTCTTTTTGTCTGTCCTCTCGACCCGATGAACTATTCGATGATATTTAGAATCGTAATTCTACGGATTGATTGGTCCGAGACACTTTTCAATCGGAACAGTTTGCATATACGTAATTAACTGGAGATTACAGTCACTTTCTTTTCTTTTCTTTTTAATGTTCACTACGACTCGCTATCTCTCGATTCATCGTTCCTTCGTGTTGTTTCGTCGCTTATCTCAGCGTTTCTTCGACTTATATAATTCGCTGAGTTACTGATTGGCTTTCTTACGAGTCCT